CCACACTTCCACAGACGCCTATCAGCTTTCCTCTCGGAACTTCCAGTTCTATATCGTGTAGCGTCTCTATTGGTTGATTTTGATTTTCATCAGATGTAATAAACTTTCCTTTCTCCTCTGCAGTAGCTCGTACTCCATTTGCTATCTTCTGACTTTGTTTGATTTGTTGCTTCTTCCTTTCTCCTATGATCAACAGAAGCTTTAAATTACTTCTAAATCCACTGACACCTTGGCTTAATAAAGTGCATGCTATCAAATAAATGAGATTCCTTGAGATTCAGAGCCCTAGTCAACAAAACACAAGTTACGAAAATGGGAGGGGGAGTGGCGTAATAACTCCATACATTCTTAACCTTGTAGGATTTGAGGTTGCGGTGAATCTGAAGATTGCCGTCTTCATAAGTCACAATGTTAAAATAAGTTTATCATTCATTATGAAAGAATATTTGAGACGAAAAAGAGTGTCGCGATTATAGTAACATTTAGGTGAGGTTATAAATTGTTTTTGTGGAACATTGAAGGGAAAAATGCAAAAAAAGTAAGAGACTGATAATTATAAATGAAGCAAAGACTTACTAAACTTGATCAAAAAATACACAACAAATCTTTTACAAACAAAGACATACCCTTCTTACGTGGTTCATCTAAATGAAAAGCTTCCCAAGAGAATGTCCCATCCTTGATTTCAATTATATTTTTTCCAGCTGATTTAATTACAGGTGATTCATAATTGGGCCTTAGAACAAATTTCTGAAAACACAAAAGTTTACAATGAAATAACGATAAAATATAGTAAGCAGTTTATATAAACACATATTCTTTCTGTGAAGAGAGAAAAGGTATACTCCAATAGAGCACACGATTATCTAAATTCTTCCTCCGCCATTCTGCATATTTCATTCAGGTAACCACGGCAGTAAGTCGTCTATTATTATCGCAAGGCAATAGTGTTAGAAATTACTTTTACTTGCATTTCATTAAATATCTGTCTCGGCAAAAAAAATGTTTAAAATATAAGTTGTAGGTCCTAATACCATTTATACATACTACTTTCCTGTATGATAAACTGTTCAGAAAGAATTTTCCAGTTGTGCAACAAAACCACAAGAATCTACTTATGTTTTGGTAAAGAAAGATAAAAAAAAGTATATGTACATTATCAAGATGCAGTACATTTGCTCTTAGAATATGTGGTAATTTATTCAATCCCATTATAAAAAATGTTCAGAGACAGTTGCAGTGTTAGGACCCTACCCCTTATCCATTCATTCAGTATTATCTACAACAGCTTTATTCGGCCCCTCCACCCCCTTTGAGAAGCACACGGTACATATGGAGTCTCACTGTATGTGATATCACGATTTACTGATGAAAAAACATTAAATAATCACACAAAACGGTAAAATCTTGTTCAACTGAACTTGAAGGTACCATGCATTTACCATCAATATTACAGGCGACATAAAAACGAGAACAGACATCAACATCAATGAGTGTTAAATAAAACACTCGCACACACATATTATAACACCCCATTATACCACCATACACGTTATGGCTCACCAATACAAAAACTGATTAATGACCAAAATTAAGCCAAGAAATAAGCAAGAGTTGGAAGTTAGTGAAGCAACGAAGTCATTCGACCGTAGCGAAGTTGAGACCTGAGGTTCTCAAGGCAGTGAAGATTATGACTGTGTGTGTTCTTGCACGTGATTACTAATATTTTGGAGGAAAACACTGGCTCCATCTTCAGATGAGATGGATATATGCTTCTCAAAAATGATAATAACCAACTATAAAACACGTGTTATCGTGACCCAGAGGACCAAAATTTACATTTTGTAGTTGTGAGCACAAGGTATGCTCTATTTTTCACTCGTTTATAAACAGAAATTAATCGTACAAAACAGTGGACTGTCATCTTCGGTGCCGTTGCATCACGCCAAGACTTTCTAGCATCAAAACGCAGAACACCACAAATCACATTTCAACACTGAAAACCTCAAATCTGTTATAAAAATCCATCTTGTTACTCGACCAGAGTTATTCCAGTTTTAACGCAACTTAAGCTTACAAATGTTACACAGATCCAGTTAGTTTTTTTAAACAGAAACACCTTTTACTTTCAGCATTAATATAAATTTTGGTACTTGTGGGTTATCGGGACACATCGCTTTAAAAATAGGTTAGGTTAGGTTAATGTGTGTGGATAAATGACATATACTTGAAAGTTATTATATTTTATTTCAATAAATGACAAATAACCTAACCTATTTTTAAAGTGACGTGTCCCGATAACCCACAAGTACCTAAATTTTAATACAGCAACAAGAAAAATCCAATTTTAATGTGCATATGCAAATATTCTGTGAAGTACCATATTTTTGAGAAAATCAAAACAAAGTCCCATTACAAGAATTTATTGGTTAGAAAGCATAAATAAGAATTATTTACACTTAATAACATACACAGTAACTAAGATGTAAACCTAGCTTGTAGGATTAGAACATCCAATCAATGTCTTGCTTCAATTCATGTGGCATCATGTCTCCTTGATCATGAATTCTTTTGCCTCTACATGCACTGGCTGCGGAACTAAACACAACACTTTACTATTTAACATGCATAACCATCAATAAAAACAACGTAATTACAAGAACAGGGGAAAAAAATTAAACATGAACATTCAAATTAAAAATTTAACCAATCAATACATAAACACAAAAATAATGCTGAAATACATGTTGCAATATTTATCAGCGACTACAGGACAATGCGATTACTTTATTACGAATCAAATATATGCATTCTTGCTCCTTTTTAAGTTACATTTTTAAGATCTAATCAATTTTATTTCTGGTTTATTTCATATTTTCTAACACTCAGGTTATATGACATTGAGTAATATGGTGATTGGTGAATAATTAACAGGAAGAGATGTAAAAGTCAGTGATCTTGACCTAATTTAAGGTTCTTTTCCAAAATTTGCCTAGAGGAAATAAGAAATACCACAGAAAACCTGCCAGGAAGTCCTTGACCTGGATGGGATTTGAACATTGTCCCTCCCAGAGGCCTTCCTTCATGGCCGTGATGTCATAACTTAGATACACGGCAAACAACTTTTTGTTCATGAATGAAAAATGTATCTCTCTCTGTAAGTGTTGTGAGAGAGTGACTAAGTGAGAGCATTTGCATCAGTACAAACGGATATGAACTGAACGTTCCAAACATGCAGAACAGTTTGTAGTACACGATCATGCTACCAACTTTTACATACCAGGTATTCAATTTTACCTTGTTTTTCACTGTTTAAAGTATACCTGCCTAGCAAATTAAATCTATCTAACTAACTAACTAGATGGCTTACGAACCCGAAGGTTCATCACCGAATTAACCAAAGCCCTCGACCAGTCCTTGTCCTGGGCCAACAAAATCCAGTCTCCTTCGACTCCTATCTCTCACAGATCCCGCCTGACATTATCCTCCCATCTACATCTAGGTCTCCCCAGCGGTCTCTTCCCCTCAGGCTTCCCAACCAGTACCCGGTGCACACCTCTTGTCCCATCCATGCGCGCTACATCCTCCTCCCATCTCATTCTTCTCGACTTAATCACCCTGACAATATTGAGGGAGGAGTACAGATTTTTAAGCTCATCATTATGCAGTTTTCTCCATGCCCCATCGTCTTCTCTCCTAGGCCCAAATATCCTCCTCAACACCTGCAATCTGTATTCCTCCCTCTGAGTGAGAGACCATGTTTCGCACCCGTACAAAACAACAGGCAGAATTATCGTTTTGTATACTTTAATCTTCAGGTTGAAACCACAATACCACAAAGAAAAACTGAGTAAATGGACGAAACGCAACACGCAGATGCGTGACAAAAGTGCGTAACCTCTCGGACGAAATCAGTGACCAATAGAAATAAATTGGTTCTGCCTCACTGAGGGAGTCTTTAAAAAAGAATCACTTACAGACATCGACACGGGCTGGGGTCAGGTCAAGGTCGAATCCACAACTCGTAATTCAACACGCATTATAAATCACTGTCGATCTGACCAATAAATTGCAAGCGATAGACGTTCTCCGCCACAATCAATCCATGATTGTGATGCTATCAGTCTGCGTCTATCGATCAAGGGTAAACGATTCTTATCACATACAGAAAAAAGGCGAATGTACAAGAAGAGAAAATTTCAATGCAGTTTTTTTTTAAACTCCGGCTTTCATGTGCGAACGTGTTGGTATATACAGTTGCTACGTTTAGCAAGAATACACTGCTTCAACCCTCCAAAACACTGATACCTACCTACTCGTAACAGGCAAAATTATTATGATTGTTTTGTATACTTAGCAAATTAAATCTGATATGCTAAATGTGTACGACCTGAAATAAGTAAATGAGAATTACCTGAAGTTTCTGACAGCTAACATTAGCTTCTGCAAGGCACTTGATACCGTATGGCAGTGTTCCAACTGTGAACTGCATTGCAGTAAAGACAGAAAAAATTGTAAATGCCTCTGTTGCAAATAAGTTGTTACCTGTCAAACTGAACAAAAAACACATGACTTGCTAAAATAAATACAAGATCAGCTTCATTACTGTACATCAACAACAGTGGGTGAAGATTTTCATATAAGTGCACAAAATTAATTTATACGGTAAATTCTTGTATAAGGTACGGGTTTGTATCCACATACATCTATACATCCATGACATGAATGGTAGCCAGCGTACATTTAAAATAAACATCACAACTCTGACCAAGCAGCACATTATCACACACCTGGTCCACCTTTAACCCTGCACTTGGCTGGACTTTTTAGGTGTTCTTCACGCTCTAGCACGAGTAAAGAACACCTTGTGTGCCAATCCACGTCTGTCATCACGTTTTTCCTCCGTAACACAGAATCACTGTTGCGCAAAGAACTCAGATCATATTCCTGTACGAATAAACCACAGCGCAACTTTGGAT